TCAAGGCCAGCCTGGGTTAGAAAGTGAGGTCAAGGCCAGCCTGAACTGCATAGCGAGACCTTATCTCAAAAAGACCAAAAAAAAAAAAAAAAAAAGAAGAAGAAGAAGAAGAAGAGTTGATTCATCCTCTAGAATAGCTCAAATGCTTTTTTTCCGGTACAGGGATTAAATCCATGGTCCTTGCACTGAACTATTTTCTCAGCCTTTTTTTTTTTTTTTTAATTTTGAAACAGGGCCCCACTAAGTTGCCAGATTGCTCAAGCTGGCCTTGAACTTTTATCCTCCTGCCTCAGCCTCCCAGAGTTCTGAGATTATAGGCATGCACACCACACCAGGATTCAGAACCTCGTGTGTGGCATTCATTACTGTGAAATAAAACTGATGTTTCTATGTAAGCATCTCCCCTACTATACAATGAACTCCATGAGGGCAGGGACTGTGTCTCAACTATCCAGTCAGCCTTGTGTCTCCTGTACCTACCACACAGTAGACACCCAGCACTGCTTGTAGACAAATGAATGAACAAATGAATGGATCACATTGTAATGATGATGTATTACTCATAAATAATAACTATCTTGTGCTTCCTTACAGGAGAATATCTAAGAAAAAAAGGAAATTAAGTCATCAGAGGAGCATGAAAGACAACTTTATTATTGTAGAGGACAACTATAGATCCTGAAGAAAAAAAATACCTTATTTTGTATTTGAGAAACATTAGGCAGAAAATACTAAAAAAAAAAAAGTGAGTTGAGAGAGAACGAACAAGCTCTGTCATCTTCTGTAACTGGAATTACTTGATCAGCTTTTTCTTTTAAGTGTCGGTCACTGGCCAGCAATGTAAGATCACTGGCACTTTCCCAAACAGGTCTCTTGAGTCTCACCTCCTTGAGGCTCTTTATCCTAGACACCTTGTTAGACATCCCAAGAATGCAAGTCCTCCCCCACACCCCCGCCCCCGCCCTGGGCACTCTATCTAGGCTACTCTATCTCAGGGCTTTAAAAATGAAGCAACTGCTGGGTGTGTAATCCCAGCACTCAGGAGGCTGAGGCAGGAGAGTTGTTGTGAGTTTGAGACCAGCCTGGGCTACAAAGTAAGCTCAAGACCAGTATGAACTGCATAGTGAGACCCTGTCTCAAAAAGACAAAAAAAAATAAAAATAAAAATGAAGTAACGTCTTCCTTCAGGACACAGCACAAACTTGCTTACTGCTTGCAAGAGAGATGGAGTCCCAGAGCTCAGGGGTCCTCTCCTAATCTGGGTCAGGGCATGTGACTTCCGTCTGGTCCACAGCATCCATGTCGGACCTAGGAGAACAGGACCCATGGCAAAGACCACCCAGCCAAGGGCCACTAGGCAAGGAATCAGATGGACATCACACATTCCATCTGTAGGCATCAGCCACTATTGATCATTGTAAAGGCTTCTCAAAAATCAGGATTTCTGACTCTACCTCATGGGGGTGCAGTTCATGGTCCACACAGCTAAGTAAAGCATAATGGTCGCTGCATGAGTCTACCCCAGCAAAGGTCCGTCTTTTGGTCATTTCCTAGGTGATGAGTAGGACAATAAGGGGGTGAGTCCTAGAGCCTGTTTTCAAAATTTGGGATTCTATCTTGACCATCTTTTTTTTTGGGGGGGGGTCTTTATGAAACAGGGTCTCGATGTGCAGTTCAGGCTGGCCTTGAGCTCACTCTGTAGCCCAAGCTGGTCTCAAACTTGCAACAATCCTCCTGCCTCAGCCTCCTGAGTGCTGGGATTACAGGCATGTGCTACCACGCCCGGCCTGACCATTCATCTTTCTTTCACCTGCGCAAGCCCAAGCCAGTGGCATGAGCACATCCTTCTGGGAGGGCATAGCCTAGACCACTGGCCAAAGGAGAGCCTAGGGATTCAAACTTCACTCTGCTTACGCCAGTGGTGTAATTGGTCCTCTATCAGAGGGATAACGCTGTGGTGATTGCACTCTGTGGGTCAGTGGGGGACCTTCCAAACGAAACATCTGGGTGCGAGTAGGGCATGATTGAAGAAACAAATTAGTCATGGCACCTGGCATGGGCTATACCAATTACATGGCATGAAGGCATGGCACCTGGGGGGGACGCCTTAAAGCCCAGGAAACTGGGGACATGGGGAGCTCCTGAATACTCCTTTGCCCCCTATATTCAGCGCCTCAGCATGGCAGATAATTGTTTGGTCTAAGTTGTTATTTGTGCTAAATAGAATAAGATCAAATCTTAGACCCTTAGTAGTTCTTGGCATTGTCAGGCCACAAGGCACAATACTATGAATTTAAAAACCACTGCTGTAGGGCAAAGTGTTTTGTTAATGTTTATAAAATTGTACAATTTTCAGGTTGTGTGTAACAGCCTTTCAAAGAGCTACTTCCAACATTATTCCTTGTCTGACCGTGGGTGCTGAGAACCCCCAGTTTTTCCTTGGTGGTCAACCTTACCACTAGCTGTCATTTATTGATTTGGTTACTTGATTTTTTTTGAAGGAGGAACAAGAGATAAATTTAAAATTCACTTATTTAAGGGGCTAAGGATTTAGCTCAGTGGCACAGCGCCTGCCTGGCAAGCACAAGGTCATGAGTTCGATTCCCGTTACCAGGAAAAAACAAAACAAAACAAAACAAAAAATAATAAAATAAAATACAATTCACTTATTTACTATTCATTGAGTAGCCTACTGTGTGCTAAGTAGCAGTGACACACAAGTAACACATCTACTCCACCCCTATATAGGGTCAAGATCTAGTGGGAAAGGCACACTTGTAAGCAAGTCACATTACTAAGGGATAAATTCTGTAACAGATATAAAACAAATAATTTCAGAGCACAACCGGGTGTGGTGGTGAATGGCTGTATTCCCAGCACTGAGGAGGCTGAGGCAGGAGAATCACTGTGAGTTCAAGGCCAGCCTGGGCTTCGTACGGAGACTGTATCTCAAAAAACAGAACAAAACAAAAAAGGTTGAAGGGATGATAAGGGAATGGGAAAAAAAAAAAAGGAATCAAGATATATCATGTACAGGTACAAATTTCCTATAATGAATGTGATGATCATTATGTATACCGAAATTATATCAATAAACAATTAAAAAAACAACCCCCGCCCTCACAAACACTTCAGAGCTCAGAGCCTGGAGCAACTGACTGCCTTCAGGAACCTGAAAGTGGCATTGGAGGTGGACTGGGAAGAATGTATATGGAAGAGGACGATGAGTGTCTCAGGTTGAAGGAATGGCACACGCAAGGCACAGTCCTGGGAATCCCTTTCAGGTGTAGACTGGGGAGAAGTTCGCTGTGGCTGGGAGCATGTGAGGAGTAACGGGAAAACGGGAAGATGATGGGCCAAAATGGAAAAGGCCCCTTTCCTCAGGCCTCTCAAAGATTGTTTGGTGTTTCCCACACCCACGATATACGTCTGCTGCTGTTTTTGCAGCACCAGGGATTGAACTTGGGCCTCTCGAAGAGCTACTTCCCAGACACTTAAAAAAAAAATTTTTTTTTTTTTGTCTTTTTGAGAAAGGCTCTCACTATGCAGTCAGCCTGGTCTTAAGCTCACTTTGTAGCCCAGGCTGGCCTCGAACTTGCTACAGTCCTCCTGCCTCACCCTTCTGAGTACTGAGATCACAGGGTGTGCCACCA